GCTCTCCCAGAGCCTCTTTCTAGAGCTCATTGTATTTATTTCCACAACAGGCCTTATTCCTAGTAAATTATATCGGAAGGGGGAGGAGAAGGGTTGGAGGTGGGGTGGTTCTGTATGTCAGAGATGGTATACAGTCCAGTAAGACTGAGAAGGTAAAAGAATTAGATTTGCTTATGGAAACGCTATGAGTCATATGTGAATATAAAGTTCTAAAAATAAAAATTGTAATAAAAAAAAGATGGATGAGAATGATAAAATAAAATAATGAATGATTTAAAGGTAGTGGGTAGAGTCAGCCTAACCCTAATGGGACTGAGAACAGTTATTATTAGGCTAGCCAACCACTAGTTGGTGGATGGAGATCTCCCAGAATTACAACTGATCTCAGGATTAGGATTATCAATTCCCCTTGAGAAAATGGCTGGTTTGGATGGTGGAGTCTATGACATTATACACCAGTGAGTGATACCCCTGTAGGCCTCTCTCTGGAACTACAGCTCAACTAAACTTTATGGGAGAAGATTTTAAACAACCAAGCACAGCCATCTTACAAACACAGGTGACTGCCATTTCGTTACACCTACCAACAGCCACTGAGGGAAGAGTTAGTCCAACACAGGAGGCAAGCAGGAGAAGCATCTTCATCAAGAGGGAAAGCCATTTGCCAGGAATTCTGACAGGGCACAGTGGCTGAAGGGGGAGTGGGCGGGGAAGAGGAGCAGACCCAGCACCCGGTCAATGGCATGCGAGTACAAAAAGGAGAGCAATGTAAACTGCTTTGTTTCCCCAATGGCTGAGGGAGTGCATTGCACAGCCAACGGGAGAGCTGCAAAGTGCCACTCCAAAACAGAATTATATATAAGGAGAGATATTGTGAGCAGAGTGAGTGGGTACCCCTCTATTAAATAAAAAAGGTAAAGGGGTGGCAGATAAAAGGTAGGAAGGGTGGTGAGTGAAAAGAAGAGAATGAATCAGGGCAAAAGAGGAGAATATGAGGGGGCTGTCAGGAGGAAGAGGGAAGTGAAGTATCGGCATAAGTCCTTGTGGCTTTCTGCTTGTTAATTGTAATATTCCTCTGCAACAACTTTTCAGGGAAATGGTATTCCATGCCTGCAGAATGATCCACATATTTATTTAATTATTTATTATTTTATTTATACCCCACGCTCCCTGTCAAGGCAGGCTCAGGGAGGTTGTTGCGGGGCAAAGCGCCCCGCTTCTGCCCCGGGGCCCACAAGACAAACCCTCCCTGCCAGCAGTGCCATAACCCACAATGCACCCTGACACCCCAACTCACCAGCGGTGGCGGAGGAACGAGGAACGATGATGACACAGCCCCGCGGCAGCCAGAGGACATCCTGGATGGAAGCCAGAGCTAGCCATGAAGTGACGCAGAAGGCCATGTGTGACCCCACCCCCACCCGACACTCCAAAGACTGGCCAGACAGGGGCACAGTCAGGCAATCGCAGAGGCCCTGGAGGAGCCCAGAGGATGGAAGGCCAGAGATGCAGATGGCCAGAGGCCCTAGGTGGGAGGGGCAGGAAGCTGGCCTGGCATCCTGGGCTTTGAAGGGAGGTGGGGCAAAGGGGGAGGTGTGGAAAGGGAAGGGGGAGTAATAAAAGGAAGAAGCTGGGAGCGGGTCAAGGAGGAGAGACACCACTGATATTGACAGGGCAGAGAAAGACGCCTATAGAGAGAAGAGAGCCCAGGAGGTTGCTGACACAACCACGAGTCATTGAGTGATGGGGAGAGTGGTGAAGGAACCCGCTCAGTGGCCCATCATTCTGAGACCCCTCAAGTTCCCGCTTCAACCCCCAGCTGCTCCCCTCGTCCCTGGGTACCCTCCCTGGTTGGCACCACAGCGACAGATGGAATGGCTTCAGGAGGGCAGCCAGTGCCGGTGCTCGGGGACAGTGACAGCAGTATAACACATAACAGACTGGAGAAGTACATCAATATTTTACTTACATGGTCAGCAAAAAGACATTATTGAATACAAATGAGGGTGCACTGCATGTCCTCTAGCAGATTTACAAATGTATAGTATGAGATGGGTTACTCGTACACATGATAATCCTACACTTGTTGAGTGGCAGCTGAATGAATAGGCTCCAGTCAAACGAGTCCATAGATTACATAATTAAAGATTACCATGATATTCTTGGTGGTGCAATTCCCTGATCCAGCTCCCTGAAGAAAACAGAGATGACTCACTCTGTACTTCACAACACAGGTGTCTTCCAATAAAGACCAAACTCAAGACTCAAAGACACACTCGTCTACTGAGAGACGCTATGGAAGAGGTGAGTTTTATCCTGTTGTATTTGATCATCAAATACATTTGGCAGTCTCTTCAGATGCTCTTGACTTCAGTTTTGAATGGAATGTAAAGACTAAAGAGCTTTATAGAAGAGGAAATTTAGAAACTAAGATCTGTCATATTTTACAGCTATCTTTCTCTTGGAAAGAACAGTGCAAATGGAGGTATATTGTATTGCAACTCTTTGTTTCATTCACATGAGTTTATGAACCCATTGCTTTTGCTAACAAATATTCTTCGGTTATTCAGTAATGCAGTATTCTGAGTTGGTGGGTTTCTTTGTTGCAAACAAAATTGTGGATGATCTTAGATATAAATGGGGATTCTCCATGTGTGATATTTCATGTTGTTTGGTAAATTTGAGATGAGATTTTTATTAATTGTATGGGAAGACTGAATAAACAGAGTTAACAAAAGAACTTTGAGATTAATAGTAGAACTGAGGTTCAGAAGCCATTTCTTCGGGGGGGGGGGAAGACTCCCAACTTAGTAGGTCAACAAAGAAGATGGTAAAATGGGGGAGTGGGCATAGTGGTTCAGCACTAATTAAAAGGTACCTCTGGCTTCATCTACCTTTTCCACTGTTGCACAGGGGAAGAAGACGCTCTTTAGAACACCCAAATATGCTATAGTAAGGATTGTGAGACCAAAATTGACCAACACTATGTGTGATGGGGATTGTAGTAAGGAGCTGAATTTGATGAGATTCAGTGAACACCAGACTGGGGCACATCTTGTGTAAGCAACCTTAGTAATGTTGAGGAATTTTTACACACACACAAAACCCCCCTCTGAATCTTAGTTCATTTCCATCAAATGGAGGAGGGTCATTTAACATATACTCATCCAATTCAAGAATTCAAGAAACATCTGTAGCTGGGTCTCTGAGTTGGATAGAAACATTTATCTTTGAATGTTTTATAGCTGAAAAGATCCATCAATTAATATTGTATTCATGGTATTTTTTCAAACTGTCGGCTTCTAATTCTTTCAGCTGATTTCTGGCCCTTGTCTTTTCCATTATACGCCATTACTAGGAGTAAGGCCCATTGTGGGAAGAAATACAACGAACTCTAGAAAGAAGCTGCAGGTGAATGTCCCAGCTATGGCTGGTGGGGCGGCAGAGGGAAGGGGATAATAGAAGGAGGCAAGCCATGTTTATTTCCTTCTTCTTAGCTATAAGGCAGGGCTGACTCAAGTCATTTTGCTGCCTCAAGTGGGTAGTTTGAGAGGACAACCTCATGGTAACAGGTATGGTTCCCTCCACCCCTGACTTATGTTGATTTGAGGTTATGCAGTGGCAGCTAAGGTAGAAAATCACCTCCTCCTATGCCATGTTTTCTGGGTTCCAAGTGTCTGGAATGTGGTTCCATAGCCAATTACACGGTTGCCAACTCTGGCTTGGGATATACCTGAAGATTTGAGGGGTAGAGCCTAGGGAGGCAACGGTTTGGGTTGGGGATGGAATTGAGCAGGATATCATGCCATAGAGACCACTGCCCAAAGCAGCCATATTCTCCAGGGGAACTGATCTTGGTCATCTGGAGATCAGTTGTAATAGCTGGGAAATTTTCTGTAGGGGAAATGATGTGCTGTGACTGGGGAACACGGTGATTTCTGGGAGATCTCCAGGCCCCACAGGGAGATTGGCAACTCCAGTGACCATTTAAGGGAAGATTGGGATATGTATTTTACCTCAGGACACATTCAATGACTCCCTACAGCAACAGCAAACTGTTTAGAATATTAGAGGCAAAGGCCAATCAGGCCGCATATGCAAATGACCTCTGTGTTCCAACTGGCTATGAGGGGGAGAGGAACAGCAAACTGTTTGGAATGTTGGAGGCAGGACTCAGGCAACGCAGCCAGTGGATCAGGGCTGCTTCTGAGTGATACTTCATGGAGCCAACTGATTTAGGAGCCTGTGGAATGTTCAGAAAGTACCACCCCACTTCACAATTATATATAAGGAGAGATGTGCATTTATAAACACTGGCTCCAAAGGTTCTGTTCCACAAATAGTGGAGCTTCTCTCCAGTGCAAGAAGACTTCTCCCGGTGTAACATACCTCTTCTCATGAAAGAAAGTGACAGATGAAGGATCTTCCATTCATGGAACAGAACCCATGAAACTCAGAGAAACAGTGTCACTACAATGTCCATGGTTTCATTACTGCTGACAAACGTACATATTATGTGAAATAAGGATATTTAAATTGTAGGGAGAAGCTTTCTGGTTTTGTCAGAATTGCTTTTACTTGACTCTGAGCACTCTGATATAGATGTATATTCTTTTCTTGAATAAACAAATAAGGATGGTTATGGGGACAAAAAGATGTGGGGGGGGGAGGTGTTCAGACAGTGAGGATAAGGTTCAAAATGTTTTTAAAAATATAATAGACATCATACCTTTCTTCCAAAGTTCAAGTTCCAAGATGTAACTAAGCAGACTTTGTATTTTGGTTATTCTTCTTGACTTAAATTTACGAACAAGCTTGGAAGATAAACTTAAACACTAATAGAAGATATATTACATAATAGATAGATGATAGATAGATGATAGATAGATAGATAGATAGATAGATAGATAGATAGATAGATAGATAGAACTACTATGTATACAATACTTCTTCTCCAAAAGTGGATGTACTTCATCAATAACTTTCCATCTCTCCACAGAATGGCTGTAAGGACTCAGATCACCAATCATTCCATTGTGAAAGAGTTTCTTCTGATGACATTTTCAGATGACCGTGACATGCAAATTTTGCACTTTGTGATTTTCCTTTCCACTTATTTCTTAGCTGTAACAGGGAACTGTCTCATTGTCATAGCCGTGGCCTTGAACCATCACCTCCACACACCCATGTATTTCTTTTTGGTGAACTTGTCAGTGATCGATACCTGTGTGATTTCGACCACTGTCCCCAAATCCATGGCCATTTCCTTGACAAACAACAACCATATTTCTTTCTCTGGATGTGTCACACAGATCTTCTTTGTTGTCATGTGTGTCACTGCTGAGCTTGCCATCCTCACTGTTATGGCTTATGACCGCTACGTAGCCATCTGCCGTCCTCTGCAGTACAGATTAATCATGAATTGGGATGCCTGTGCTCAGATGGCAGCTGCTACCTGGATAAGCAGTGTGATGCATGCAGTGTTAGAAACTGGTGTCACATTTAGTTTAAGCTTCTGTCGATCCAATCTTATTGAGCAATTTTTCTGTGACATCCCTCAGCTACAAAAGATCTCTTGCACTGATACAAAAGTTAATGAACGACTGATTCTCATTCTTGGGCTTATTGTGGACTCTTTTATGTTTTTATTCATCTTTATTTCCTATGGCTACATCTTCTCTACGGTACTGAAGATTCCATCCATTCAAGGCAGATACAAAGCCTTCTCCACCTGCACTCCCCACTTGGTTGTCTTTTCTTTATTTATTATCACCGGTGTCTTTTCCTACATGAGGCCCAAAGCACTTTCCTCTCCAACTCTGGATTTGATCTCTGCTGTTGTGTATGCTGTTTTACCACCAGTCCTAAATCCAATCATTTATAGCCTCAGGAACAAGGATATCAAAGAGGGTATGTGGAAAATACTCCTCCAAATTAAGAAATTAATTGCATGATTTCTTAAGAAGAAAAGAGAGTACTGAAAAAGAGGCAAGCAAAAAATCCCTTCTCTAGTTTGAGAGATATTAACAAATAATGCCTGATATTAACAAATAATAGGTCCAAGCCCAGCCACAGGAATGTCTTTGTCCCACCCCCTCTGAATGGAGCATGAATCTGAGGGATTGTTCAATCAGAATAGCATTTGAGATGTTGTATCTATGCAACCTCTGTCTCCTCTAAGTAGGCACTTTGCTGCACCATGAACCCTCCCTCACTGTCAGTTTTTTGTAATAGCAATGAGTGAGGTACTTGCTCACTTCTTGTTCAAGGAGGAAATTTGGGGAGTCCTTTCTCAAACTGTCAAAAAGAAGGGCCATTTTTGCCTGCTTCACATTATTGGAAAAGGAAGGTAAATATCTTCTGGATTGGTCAATTTATCCATTTATTTAGAATATTTTGAAGCTGGCTCTTCAGGTTCCTGCTCGGGGAAGCTTAAGTAATAGGTTTTTTTGGGGTCCTATGTAGGGATTAGTTGGCAAGAGCAGTGTGGGATGGGGAGAAAAGCAAAAAGAACCTTGATGAGCATTCTAGGGAATTCAAGGATGAAGAAAGCTTTGCTGAATCTAATGGTTGACTCGTTTGAGGAAATTGATGAGGTGACTACAATGGATGAAGTAGCATCACTGAATGCTAGAGTTAACGAACTAACAGGGATAGTGATAAGGCAAAGGCATTTGATACATAATTATAGGAATACCGGTACAACAGCACAAACAATGCTTGGGTCTGAGCTTAGGTTGGTTGTCGGAATGCTAATATCATATAGGATGACATATTAGTTATGCATTGCACGTTGAAAGGGAAATAAAGTGCTAAATGCATTACTATGGCAGATCTTTCATTGATAAAGTCCCAGGTTAACTCATTGCTTGAGTTGCTTCTCTTCATTCTGGGATGCAGAGACAATATTGCAAACATCCCTTATTGTTTGTGCTACACTGTGATTTAGTGCATTGTTCTCTAATTTTCTTGGTTGTATGTACTATATCGCTCTTGCTAGCTGTAAACCATCTCAGCAGAGAAGGCAAACTATAAATTAAGGAAATGAAGTAAGCCAATAAATAAATTACAAAAATATGAAATCCACTGTAAGAAAACCCAGCCTGGAAATCAGCTTTACACAGATTATAAGGGGACTGAATGCATATTATTAAGCAACAGCAGCCCATCCTTCTGCTGTCATGTGGACATCAGCCCATGAGCTTCTCCAGGTCTCAGAATAGGGCAAAGAAGGGATTGCACCACCTGTTTCATCGCTTTCCTCTGAATGCCTGTTCTTGCGATCCTGCATCATAATTCATCCCTTCTTCCTCAGCCTGTTTTGGGATTTGCTTTATACAGGTTAGGTTGGGCCCAGCCTCATTCCCAGCCAATCCTCTGCGGGCAGCCCAAAAGTACTGTACATGCAACATGGCTTTATGTTCCCTAATTATATTTGATGACCATACATTTGTTGACTGGCAGCTGAACACATGGACTCCATTCCATTCTGTTCTAGGTGGTGCAATTCCCTGATGCAAGTCTGCACAGAAAATAGAGATGATGCACATGACTCTTGAACATTTCTTCCTATAAAGACCAAACTCAGCTACCAAAGGGCTGAGTTTTAACCTCTTAGAACACATTACCTATTGAACCTGAAGGTCTTGTCAGAAGTTAAGGATGTCAGTTTTAAAATGAATGTGAAGCATTAGACGGAGGAGAAGTACGGTATGCATGTGGAAATACCAAAAGGTTCGTATGATGTAGGCAATACTTTTAAAAACACATTTCTGCTTGTTCTTTTCATAGGAAAAGAATAATAAAAATGGGTGCACAAAATGTGCAGATGTCCCCATGAAAGAACAGTGGCAACCATTTTGTTCATATGGCTTTATGAAGGCCCCTTGCAGTGATATCCTCAGCAGAGCTGCAGTGATGGATTTAGAAGACTGTAACTCTGTTGAGGATTACACTACACAATACTAACCATATTCTGGTTTCACTCAGTTCCATGAGACTCTGAATTGGTAGCTATATTTTTTGCAGAAGAATTATGTAGGTGAAAATTCTAGCAAGTTTCTTCATGCCATTTGGTACATTAGCAATGAAATTTTAATAGTTGAAATGGGAAGAGAGAATGAATGGAATAAGCAAATATCATGAGGGTTAATCCAAGAGCTGGAAGCTACTTTGTACCTGTCAATGACTTCCTCTGAAAAACAGCCCCACAAATTTAATCACTTGTTTATAGGATGGTGAAACTGGGAGTGGGATGGGGTGTTTAAGGAATTTAGGCTCAGCATTAGTTAAAATGTAGGCGATCAGCTTTAGTAATAAGAACTTTATTTCCAAAACTGGAAGATTAAATATTTTGTGAACATTTCTTCATTCAATGTATATCACTCATCCTGTATATCATTAGCTCTGAATTGTCCAGGTTTTTAATTTGATTGTTCGATCTATTACGTTTTATTCACTTGATTTACATTCCTCTCTTCTACTCAATGGACACTGGAAATGGTTTACCAAAGTATCCCTTTTTCCATTATATCCGCACAACAACCCTGTGTGGTAGGTTAGGCTAAGAATACATAGGAACACCAATAAACCCTCCATTTCAGTGTAAGGATGCAAACTTGGGTGGTATTCTGATTCCGTTTTCCAAATCGTCTGCCACCACCAATGCTGTCAGGTAATTTTCCACAACTAGTTCAAAGCTTTCAATTTTATTCCTTACTATAGCTTCAATACAACATGGTAATCGTGATAAATGTATATCCACATTCTGAGTGAAGGAGCACTCTGAAACATAATGTGGGAGATGCTCAGGTTCTTGAGTTCCACAGAGAAGTAAGTGCTGTGCCACAGGTATTTGGATACAGTGACCACTTGGATCAAAAGAAATATTTGCAAAGGCTAATCTAAATGTATAAAATATAACAATGGACACATAGGAAGTTCCATATAGTATCTTGTAAACAGTTTGGACCAAGGAGAAAATGGATTCAGGTGGGCAGCCATGTTGGTCTGAAACAGCAGAACAAAGTTTGAGTCCAGTGGCACCTTTAACACCAACAAAGTTTAATTCAAAGTATGAGCTTTCGTAGTTACCTCAAATGATATTATTTGGGAAAACTGGGCTGTCTGTTATTTTGTTGGGGAATTAGCAAGAGCTTCTGATTAGTCCCCCCCCCCCCGGTCTTCTTCCCCTTTTTGTGTTTCATACACATTTTAAGGCATGCTATCTTTAAGAGGCCTTGAAGTATTCCAAATACATGTGTGTAAGCACATATTTCCAGTTCCCACACCTTGTAGTTTGGGAGCTGCCTCTGCCCCCCACACATTCCCAAAAAGAAAGATGCCAAGTTTCTCGATGAACATGTGGAGAGACTGAGCTACACACTAATCAGTGAGACTAGCTACAGGAAGGGCTGTGGCTCAGTGACAGTGCATCTGCTTGGAATGCACAAGGTCCCAGGCTCAATCCTGGGAATCTCCAGCTAAAAGGACAAGGCAGTAGATAGGGCTGCCAAGTGGGGGCATGGGTGGGTAAACCCCCGCTTCGGAGGCCCGATTCCCGCCCCCGCGGAATCGGGCCCCGGGGGGAACTCCGCCCCCGAAGCACAGCGTGGCTGTGTCACTGGAGGTGACGCAACCACGTCAATCACATTGGGGGCGTGGCCCCGATTGTCGGAGGGAACACTCTATAGAGTTTTCCCTCCAACGATCGGGGCCACGCCCTCAACGTAATCGACATTGTGCGTCACTTCGGGTGATGTGCTGGCGGCGTGCGCACGTGCACGTAGAAGGAAGGCTCCCAGAGCCCGGCGAGGCTCCCCCGCCGGTGAGAAAATTTCACTTGGCAACCCTAGCAGTAGATGATGTGAAAGACCTCAACTTAAGACCCTGGAGAGCAGCTGCCAGTCTGAGTAGACTATACTGATCACAATGGACCAAGGGTCTGATTCAGTCAGGTCCATAGTACAGTGGGGCATTTCAGGGCCTCCCCCCCGCAACTTCCTACCAAGACCCCCGACTTCCTTTCAGCCCAGACCCCCTGACCTTCTGGTGGTAAGATGCAGCAGCCACTGTGAACTCCCACACGCTGCAGTAGCTGCCACTTCTCCTTACCTTCCCCCTGCACCACACCTTTCTCTCCTGCACCACACCAATCAAGTTAATTAAATTACATTTAATTGAATTAGCCAGTGCCCCTGTGCCCCCTGAGGAATTTAAATCCCCCCCCCACTTAGAAATTCCTTGCTATGGGCCTGGATTCAGTATAAGGCAGATTCATGGGACCACTTTGAGACTAAGCAGGGATGCTTTGGATCCATTCCAGCTGGTCAGAATTTTCTTTTTAACCGTCTTCAGTCTAATGCTGTTTCTGTAATTCGGCCTTTGTTAAGACAGGTTGAGTTGGGAAAATGTCAGCTTTTGCTAACGTTGGGAATCTCCAGCAAGAAAAAAGGGGGCCAATGTCTCAATACAGAGGAAGCTTTGCAAAGCAGCCTTTAATGGCTTATCATCAGTGGAGCTGGAGAGGGGCCTGCTTGGGGCTGGGCCATCACCATTTTGAATCCCAGTGCTTACCAGCATGGAGGGAAGGTGATGGGTACCTTCACAATCAGCAAGTGGTCTATGGAGATCTCTGAGAGAATAACATCAGCCAGACTGCCAGGTTTGCACACTCTGTGTTGTTGTGAAGGAAGGATTAGACTGCAAGTTCTTCCAGCCTAATGACGCTGCATCTGATTCATTCCAGCACATCTCACAATGGATACCCATCCTCTATAAGAAAGGATTACATATACAAGTTTGCATAAACCTTTTAAAAAGTTATGACTCTAGCTTCAGTTGTCTTTCCTCATTTTAATGGGCTTGTACTATTGAAAGCAAACTAGAATCAAGGCTTTCTTCATTCCTGTTCAACGTTTTCCATTTTCCTCTCCCTGCTTTGGGTTCTGCCCAAGTCCTACCCCGGCTCTAGGCCTCATCCCCAAAGCAGATAAACAATGCAAGCCAGAAGCTTCCAAGGGGCAGAAACTTGTAATAATGACAACAGGCCATCATGGCATCGTTTCTAGTTGCATAGATGGAAGTGACATCATGGTGTTGAACAACACTATAGAAAGTTCCCAAATCACTATGATCTTAACCATAGACACCATGACATCACTTTTGGGTACTTGTGTAACACTGTGACATAACTTCGGGGTACTCAACCAGAAGCAACATCATAGCATTACATTACACCTGCCCCCCTATTTTGCCCCCACTGTTCCACTGAGCAGCAGTAGGAACCTGGTTAATGGGGACAACCTGGCCCCCTAACAAAGATTGAGACTCAGATAAGCACTGCAGATTTCCATTCATTTTTCTCCACTTTTGGGGCCAGATATGTACTGGCATCAAATTATTCTATTCATGCATGAGTGATTATGTCAAAAGTCCCTGTCCCAACCCTGGGTAAGAACTTTTGGTACAAAGGGGTTGCAGCAAAGCAAAGTTACAAAATACCAGAGAGAGACTAAATCTCACCCTAGTCTTCGTAGGTGCCACCAGTCCTTTCAGTCTATCCCAACAGCCCAGGAGGGAAAGGAGAATTAACAAGAAAAGTCAGCCCTGCAGAGTCGGGCTGCAGACAGAGTTTCCAAACACCAAACTGTTAGCTGGTAGGTGGTCAAAGGTCAAGGCTCTGGAAGAAGGCTTTGAGGTCAATGAAGGCAAAATCCACAACAGGATAAAAATATAGTTATTTATTTAAAGCACAAAAATATCCAAATAAAACAAAACTGTAAGGAATAAAAATAATTAAATATAAGCATACCCAGCACAGCTAAAACATAGAGTCAAGGTTCCAAGTTACCATTATGGTTCAGCTTAGGCAGTTAGCTCCAGCAAATCAAGATGTTTAGGGCATAGCCCTTCCAAGAAGCAGTCAAGATGGATACAACCACTGAAATGCTTCAGTGCCAAGTGGTCACAAAGCTCAGCCATATAGCAAAGGCTAACTAGATTTATAGAGAGGGTCTCTGATTGACCTCAGGCCTGTTAGGCCAATCAGAAGCTAGAGAGATAATGTAACTCTCTGTATGTTGCTAGGCACGCAATGTCCAGGGATGGACCAGAGGGGGAAGCAATGAAACCATACTGTAACTAGGTCCTGCCCTTTCCCACACAGGTGCCCCATAACTTCAGTTGCTTGGAATGTGCTAATTGGAAGGACCAGGGCGAAGTGGTACTCTGAGTCCCTAGCACTTCAGCAGCAAAAAAATTAGCTGACAAGGTCACTGTGCTCTATCTCTAACCATCTCTGAGAAGATTTTTGTAGACCCCTCTGCAGCCTGAACCAAATATTTTATTTGTGGCTCCAGTTCTTAATCGGGATGGAGAGGTTTGGCCTGGCACCTAGGAACCATTTTTCTTTACTAATTATACCCTCTTTTAGGTAGCAGGTACTAAAAATCAAAGTTTCTGAGCTGTTGCAAGAATTTTGTAGCCCTGGACAGTCTAAACTAATTTTGTATAGTGTTACCTGCACCCCCCTCTAGATTCGTAATGGTCTGGTGTGTGCCCCTTACCAAGGCGGGTAGAATGTAAAAGGAAAGTTAGCTGGAATGCAACACAAGGTTATTTAAACAATAAAATAGTTTATTAGCTAGAGACATGCAAGCAATATAAAACAGAATACTTACTTCATAAGAAAAAAAGACAGTCAGTGGTTACATATATAAACAAAGATTCCCCATGCACAGAAAGCTTTCTGGACTGGCCCAAATAGATCACGGAAGGCAAAGCCTTCTCTGGATCTCTGAGAGTCAGTGCTGAAATGAAGCTCCTGGCCTTTTTTTTATACCATTTTGGTCCCATACATTTCGATAAAGCCATAGAAATTATAAACTACAGCAATTAATCTAATTGCCCTGTTAATTGTGAGCCATCATTGCCTTGGAGATGTTCACACATTCCATAGGCAATGGGGCATCCTGATGCTCCTTTGCAAAACAATACAAGATAGCACCTAAATCTCTAAATGACAAAGACAAGAATGTTACAATTTCAGGATGTTCTTTGTTTCCTTGACCCCAAGCAGACATCCAGGCACTTGTCTGGAGACTGGAGATGTGTAGTGAGTTTCTGTATGTAGACAAGCCTTAGTATTTGCAAATATCCTGGCTTCCTTCTTAATGGCAGGGGCATACCAATCTTTTATTCTTAAAATGTTTCCAAATTCCTTAGGTCTAAATGTTTTCCAAATTCTTTAGGTTCATGAACAATGTAATGCAGATGTTAGTTAAGGTGGAGGAAATATATCTTTTGAGACAAAGGCCTAGCAAAGTCATGTTGGGAGTCGTGCTGCTAGCTGTTTGGAAAGTTACAGAGAAAGAGGAGAGACAAAGACTATGATTTATTTATGAAATTAATTGTATAAATGGGTTTCAAATTTTCTGAACCATCTTAATTAATTTTTTTTCTCACAACATGAGCCACAACAGAAAAGACTTCAGGGGAAGAAAATATATATGTGACATCATTTTGGTAAATATTTTCTCAAGGTGCATTTCCATGATGCAACTCCCTGAGAGACCATCAAAACCACTAATGATTTTTTATGTTCTTCATAATGTGCTTTCCCCAGTAAAGAGCAACCTGGAGCTCAAACACACTCATCATCTGCGACAAGCAGCTGCAGAGGTGAGCATTATCCTTGTTGATCCCACAATACACTTTCAACTTTCAGGTGCTGTTTTTAAGAACTGAAGTACATAATGTAGTGTCTATCTTGAAACAGCATTTGGCTGCAGTCACGCACACTGAATAATCCGATTTCAATCCATCTTCAGTGCACTTTCCAACTGGATTTTTTACTGTGTGAACTGGCAAAATCCAGTTAGAAAGTGCATTGAAAGAGCATTGAAAGAGGATTATTTAGTGTGTGTGACCGCAGCCTTTATGTGGCAAATGTAAAGACTACCATATGAGTGGATAAAAATATCTCGAAACTATTGTTTCCTACCTTTTAGTAGGACAAATGACACAAGTGGGGTAGGCAAAATTAGTATTGATTCTCCCACAGTAGGAGAATTCTTCCTTTCATCCATGTAGGATATCTGTCAAATAACTTGAAGGATAGTCTAATCCCATATGAAATTTGCAGTTGTCTAAGATCTAACAATGAGACCCTACTCAAGAATCTGGCTCAGGTGGATACAAAGCCCCTTTGACTTCAACGGCATTAGAAGGGTGAACACCATTTAGGATTGTACCACTGGTGACCCTCAGGAGTAGGGTGCTCTTAGTTATTGCCTAGGTATTTTGAAATCCATTACCTGGAAATGTTCCCCTTTACCTCTCCCTTTCATCCTTCTAGGAGCAAATAAAGACCGAGATTTTTCAGTAAACAACAGGTAATAAGTTCTAAACAATTTAATTCTGCTTATCATTTATGATTCTGTTCTGTTTACTATTGATTAATAAAGATTATATGGCTTTTACCAGATTACTATTATAAATGGCTGTGAATTGATGTGAATGCTTCTAATATAGAGTAAATCTCTGAAAAAAAAACATGCAAACCAAGTAAGGGAAGATATCCAAGTTTAACTGTTAGAAATCCCAAAATGATCACTTTGAATGAATGGATGTCTACATATGCAATACATTGACTCCCCAAATTCTTTTCATATTGTTTGATATTAGATTACCATTTCTGGAGAATTACTTTTGACTTAAAATTTCAAGGAGGCATACAATTCATGGTAGATAAATATCACAAATTTAATTTAATTTAATCAAAATTTAATTTAATTTAATTTAATCAAAATTTAATTGGATAGATATACTACATTAATGTCTATTGTTCTTTCCACAGGATATCTGAAGGAAATGAAATGACCAATAGGTCTACTGCGACAGAGTTCCTTCTAATGGGATTTGCCAATGTCCATGATATGCAATTTTTGCATTTTGTGATATTTCTTTCGGTTTACATCTCAGCCCTAATTGGGAATATTCTCATAATTGTAGCTGTATCCCTCAACCACCAGCTTCACACTCCAATGTACTTTTTTTTGGTGAACTTATCATTTTCAGATGCATGTTTTATTTCTGCCACTGTCCCCAATTCCATGGCCACTTCCATAATGAACAATACACTGATTTCTTTCTCTGGCTGTGTGGGTCAGGTTTTTTTAGTTGTTACTTTTGCAGGTGCTGAGATAGCCCTGCTCACTATCATGGCTTACGACCGCTATGTAGCCATCTGCCATCCTCTGCGGTACAGGTTAATCATGAGTTGGGATGCCTGTATCCAGATGGCAGCAGCTTCTTGGATAAGCAGAGTGAGCCACGCAGCATTACAAACTGGTATCACATTCAGGTTACACTTCTGTGAGTCCAATATTATCAAGCAGTTTTTTTGTGATATCCCTCAGCTAGAAATGATCTCTTGCAATGATGCAGAAGCTAATCAAGTTCTGGTCTTTATTTCTCTAAGCGTTGTTGTAGACTCCTTCTGCATTTTGTTCATCTTTGTTTCCTATGGCTACATCTTTTCCTCTGTGCTGAGAATTCCATCAGTTCAAGGCAGATACAAAGCATTCTCTACTTGCACTCCCCACTTGATAGTCTTCTGTTTATTTATGCTTACAGGTATGTTTTCCTACTTGAGGCCAAAAGAACTTTCTTCTCCAACTGTGGACTTGCTTTTTGCTGTTTTGTACAATGTCTTGCCACCCATGCTGAATCCTATCATTTACAGCCTCAGGAACAAGGATATCCAAGTGCCAGTATGGACAATACTGAAGACTATAGCAGGATTATTTAGGACTCATCATAGCTGTCTGAATTATAGTGCATAGAGAGCACAGTGGCTAATAGTTGGAAGGAATAATGGGTTGGATCCTATTGTCATTTTCCCATTAGCACAAGAATATTTCTGCCAGTGGATGAAGCAGCAACATATTACCTGATTTCTCTCCTAACTCCTGGATAACAAACCAAATATGGTTCCTGGGGGTTCCCCTGAAACTTAGAGGGAGCACTTTAACAAGACAGCACTTCTGTTTGATGGAGCATCAGAGAAGAGGTCAAAATAATTTATTCTAAGCATCTTCTACTCTACCCCATGATGGCTGGATCCAGCAAATTTGCCTTCCCCCCAGTTTTCTCACATTCTATTGCTTGTGTTGGATCCTACCAAAGATTTTACAGGGGGGGGGGGTGTCCCCTGTCCCTCAGGGGTATGTTTGGGTGACTAATTACAGGAGACCTAAAAACATTTATTAGGCAAAATATATAAAAGGCTGTTGCGATACAAAATGAAAACAGAGCAAGTGAAAGATAGTATGATTAAATGGATGAATTTTTTTGGAAAGAATATTTCTCTAAGTCAGTGGGAAAACTTATGGACTAAAGAAATTAAATTCACCAAGTCCCAAATGTTAAGGGAGAATTTGTGTAAAACGTTTTTTAGATCGTACAGTACTCCCAAAGAAATTTCAAAAACCCATAAGAATTATAATGAAAAATGTTGGAAATGTCAAAGTACAGATGCAATGTTTTATCATATATGGTGCACATGTAAGAAAGCAAGATGATATTGAATAAAGATCCATTAAGGGATACAAAAGCTATTAAAATTTAAGTTTGTGATGGACCTAAAGTATGCTATTAAATATTTTACCAAGTAATATTACAAGAACACATAATGAACTATCTAAATACATCGTAACATTGGCAAGGCTGATATTTGCATCTAAACGAAAGGCAGAAAAATGCCCAGAATTGATGGATTGGAAGAATAAATTTAATGAGTATGTGATTATGGCAAAACTAGTATCTCATTTATACAAGAGATTGAATCTAGAATTTCAAGAAAAATGGGGGGGTACTTTTTGACAATATAGCTGAAAACTAGGACTGAATTGTTAAAGTGGAGAATGATTAAGAGATGTAATCAGGCTATGCATGCTTGTAACATTGAAATGTTAGATATGAAGTAATGAAGAAAAGAAGATAGATTAAAAAATAAGTGAAAATTTAGAGTATATATAAATCAGACCTAAGCACTAAAGCAAGTTCTCATTGACAATTGTAATACATAGAATAGTATATAGTTTATGTAGGAACTAGATATAATAAAGGTAAAGGTTCCCTTGCTCGAAAGCCAGTCGAATCCGACTCTAGGGTTGTGGTGCTCATCTCCATTTCAAAGCCGAAGAGCCAGCGCTGTCCGAAGATGTTTCTGTGGTCATGTGGCTGGCATGACTAAACACCAAGGCGCACGGAACGATGTTACCTTCCCACCAAAGTGGTACCTATTTATCTACTTGCAGTTTTTTTGCTTTCAAACTGCTAGGTTGGCAGGAGCTGGAACTAATAAATGACCATAAATTATTATCCTTGTTTATGTCTAAGCTTTTGTCTCTATCCATGTAAGATGATTGTCTATGTATAACTATGTATATTTGTATAATTACTGATATTTCTGTTTGTTTGTTTTTATGTATGTATGTATGTATGTATGTATGTATGTATGGGCTCCAATTGTCAGGAGCTGAGGAAGTCATGCTCTGAAGATTCCAATCCTTCCATCAGCTGAAATGTGCCACTGCATCCAAGTGTTCCTTCTACATATTATAGTTTGTTTTGTACTGTCAGTTATTGCTGCTTTATTCTTAACTTTGATTAGAACTTAGAGCCTTTTGCATTCTACTGTCTCCCCTTCTGTCTCCCCATAAAACAGGTGTTCCTTCCACAAGGAGCTTTTCCTTTTAGAATTTGAGTTGGATCCAGCCAGCTTTTCTGCTGGTGAAAAGGGGAGCCATGAGCATCCTTTGGCCAAAAAAATACTATGCTGGAGATCATGGGATTGGCATGAACAAAAGCTGCATGGGACAGGAGCAGCAATAAAGAAGTTAATTGGACACGATTTAGTGAAAAAGCTGTCTAGACCCAACCCTTTTGTTGGCAACAATACTGGTGCATGGATTTATTTTGCTTGTTTTTTTAAAAAAACGCCTTCACACATCATCATCCCCATTTCATCTGTCAGGTTTCTACTGCATTGCTCTATTCTTTCTCTAACCTGCTTTGCTACCATCTTTCCTGAAAGATCACGGTCAAAGTGGGTGTGAGTCAAGGACCAGCCTTTCAGGTTCCATGCAGTTGCTAGGCACTCCAACTGGCCCAACCAGATTTAAACACAGCAAGGCTGGAAGTGGCAGAATGATGCCAGCAAGGATGTGGGGTCTGGTCCAGTGTTCCCTCTAAGCTGAGTTAGTGTGAGCTGGCTCACAGCTTTTTAGCCTCCAGCTCACACATTTTTGTCTTAGCTCGGGAAGGAGGGCTCCAGAGCAAACTAATTTATGCAGCAGTCAAATTGCTCGCTCACAACTTTAATGCCCGTAGCTCACAAAGTAGAATTTTTGCTCACAAGACTCCACAGCTTATAGGGAACATTGGTCTGGTCCATGGTTTACCAGCACAAAACAGGGGGACCACCTGGCAGGCATAAGAAGATCCTTGCAGGATCAGATCAGTGGTCCATCTAGTACAGCACAGAGGCCAATCAGTTCTTCTGGATAGCCAACAACAGGGCATAGAGGCTGAGGTCCTCCCTTGACGTTGCCTCCTGGCTCTGAGATTCACTGGCTCAGTCCCTCTGAATGTGGAGGTTACCCTCAGTCACCATGGCTAGTAGTCATTGATAGACATATCCTCCATGAATCTATCTAATCCGTTTTAAAAGCTGTTATTCCTGCGGCCATCACTATATACTCTGGCAGCTAATTTCACATGTTAATTACTCTCTGTGTAAAGTACTGTACATCCTGAACCTACTGCCCATTAGTTTCATTGGACGCCCTTGAGTTCTAGTATTTTGGGAGAGGGAGAAAAAAAAATCTCTTTGTCAACTTTCTCCACCCCATGCGTAATTTTATAAACCTCTATCATGTCCCCCCTTAGTAGTCTCTTTCCTAAACTCAAAAGTCCCAGACTCTTTAGTCTTTCCTCGTAGGGAAGGTGCTCCAACCCTCTAATAATCTTGGTTGCCCTCCTCTGTACACAGTATTCCAAATGAGGCTGAACCATAGATCTATACAAGGACATTACAATTTTGGCCATTTTATTCTCAGTCCCTTTCCTAAGAATCCCTGACATAGAGTTTGCCTTTTTCACTGCTGCAGCACACTGGGTTGATATTTTCATTGAGCTATCCACTATGACCCCAAGATCTGTTTCCCTCTCAGTCTCAAAACTAAAGGACCATGATGTGTAAGGATATCTGGAACAACTAAAGCACCATGTATGAACTGGTTATAGTTGGAACAAAATAAATAAACTCTGTGTTATACTTAAACAACTAGAAAAGGCTATAAGTGCCTAACACACTTTGCACAATATAACTCAGTGTACAAAGAATAAAATATACAAAATACACACAAGACCAACTTATGGGCTACACCAGTTCAAAAGTGCACAGGACTTCACAAGAAACTGAGATGAACTGAGGCTTCAAGGACTATGGAGACAAGTAAAAAAAAAAATGTTTCATGTGTCTACTTTAGGTCTTACAGCTAGAGAGATCAAAAATTACAAATGTGGAAGTCAAATCCATGAACTAATACAGAAAGAATTCCAGCAAGTGTCATGAAGCTAATATCTTTTGTAATGCTGAGAATCGCCAATCAAACATATGTACGTAGTACTAAACCTTGAGAAATTCACAGCTAACTTAGATTCTCCTGATGTTCCAGTGTGCATCACCTTACACTTACCAACACTGAACTTAATTTGCCACACTGTTGCCCACCCACCCAGTTTGTGGAGGCCCTCTTGGAGCTCTTAATGGTCTGCCTTGTCTTTCACCATCCTGAATAATTTTGTGTCATCTGCAAACTTGGCCACTACACTATTCACCCCTAGTTCCAGATCATTTAGGAATAAATTAAATAGTAAGTAAAGGTAAAGGTTTCCCTTGTGCAAAGACCAGTCAAATCTGATTCTAGGGGGCGGTGCTCATCTCCATTTCCAAGCCGAAGAGCCAGAGCTGTCCGAAGACATTTCCATGGTCAAGTGGCCAGCATGACTAAACACTGAGGTGCACAGAACACTGTTGCCACTCAAGCTGAAATAATGAGGCAGACACCACTCACCTGACTCTCCAAGGCCTTGCCTGAGCCAGCCACCGGTGTGGCTGTGCGCCCTTCAACAATAGACAAATGCGTTAACACTTCCGCCTGAAATCACTTATTAGCAGATACCCGGGTTTCTTTTCTTCCACGCGTCCCACCAGCTGGCCAAGCAGGAGGAGTTGTCACAGCCAACAAGTGGTCAAAATAGCCTGCCGGACCCCATCATCATCGTCATCCGACGAGGACAGTGCAGGGGGAGGCCGCTTAGGCGGTGGATTAGGAGCAGGCTGCTTCCCTTTGGAAAGCCCCGACCTCTTCTTGGGAACCATAACAGAAAGTGAAACTCAGTTACTGAGTAGACAAAATGGCCGCCAAACCCAAAATACAAAATGGCCGGCCCTCCTGTGTGCACTACGAGCAGTAATCAGCCACACCCAATATGGCCGCTCCAGTGATATCCAGCTCCTACCAGGGGAGCGTGTTGGACCTATGGCAAACTCCAATGGCTGCCTGGGCCCCAAAAAACCCCTTAGAAACCAGCCACAAACTCGCATGAGCAAGGATGGTGGTGGTGGTCAGGGCAGACAAGGCAGACAACAATGCCCCCCAGGAGGTGACCACGTGCACCAGGGGCCCCTGTTAACCCAGCAGCCCTATAAGAAAAAGTGGGGTGGGGTGGGGTGTGTAGTATAGTCGCGGGCCCAAGCCACTCTCGACCCTAG